TTTCCATCCCCTATAGTAGGCAAAGATACCTATGTTCTCTCTCATACTGCCTAAACCTTGCCCTCATCAGACTTAGGTTTTTGTTTCTTTTAGGTATGGTCTTAATTTATATGCAAATCTTTAGAAGATTTAACGCAACTAGAAAAACAGACCAGTCACCAAATAATTTCCATTAACAACAGTCTACAAGATATACATGTAGGCCTTAATTTGTCAACTCAGTCACATAGATTTTCAATCTTCACCAAGAAGCTCTGAATAACTCATTTCAAAAATGTCAGGATCATTTATTTAGGATCAACCTAAAAGAGCTCAAAGCATTACAACTGCAATACTTCAAAATGTAAAATCATATCATCTATGTGAGAAAAAATACCGACTTTAACTCTATAGTTGGCCAATGTACGATCACTTGAACAACATTATGGTTACTAGACTACTCCTATTACCAAGTCCCCCAGACCATACCCCATTACAGCCACTGCCCATCAGCATACTAATATGTTATAAAATTATTACTTGTCTTCTCTGTATATACTGCTTTTCCCGTGTCCCCCCACCCCCACTACATTATGTGTCCTAATTATAATGCCATGTTTACCCCCTTATCCCTCACTTCCCTCCCATCCTCCCCAGTCCCTTTCCCTTTAATAACTGTTAGTCCATTCCTCAGTTCTGTGAGTCTGCTGCTGTTTCATTCCTTCAGTTTTTGTTTTATAGTCCACAGATGAGTGAAATCATTTGATACTTTTCTTTCTCCACCTGGCTTATTTCGCTGAGCATAATACCCTCTAGCTCCATCCATGTTGTTGCAAATGGTAGGATATGTTTTCTCCTTATGGCTGAATAATATTCCACTGTATATATGTACATCTTCTTTATCCATTCGTCTACTGATGGACACTTAGGTTACTCCCACTTCTTGGCTGTTGTAAATAGTGCTGCAATAAACATAGGGGTGCATTAAGTCTTTTTCAAACCAGGTTGCTGCATTCTTGGGGTAAATTCCTAGAAGTGGAATTCCTGGGTCAAATGGTATTTCTATTTTGAGTTTTTTGAGGAAACTCCATACTGCTTTTCAAAATGATTGAACTAATATACATTCTCACCAGCAGCAGAGGAGGGTTCCCCTTTCTCCACATCCTTACCAACATTTGTTGTTGTTTCTCTTTTGGATGGTGGTCACCCTAACTGGTGTGAGGTGATACCTCATGTTTTAATTTGCATTTCTCAAATGAATTAGCAGTGTGGAGCATCTTTTCATGTGCCGTTGGCAATGTGAATTTCTTCTTTGGAGAAGTGTCTGTTCAGCTACTTTATTTGCTTTTTGTTTGTTGAGGTGCATGAGCTCTTTAGAAAATTTGGAATGTCAACCCCTTATCAGATATGTCATTCACGAATATATTCTCCCATACTATAGGATGTCTTTTTGTTCTACTGATGGTGTCTTTTGCTGTACAGAAGGTTTTTAGTTTGATATAGTCCCACTTGTTTAGTTTTGCTTGTTTCCCTAGCCCCTAGAGATATTTTCATGAAGAAGTTGCTCATGTTTATGTCCAAGAGATTTTTGCCTATATTTTTTGCTAAGAGTTTTATGGTTTCATGACTTACATTCAGGTCTTTAATCCATTTAGAGTTTACTTTTGTGTATGGGGTTAGACAATGATCCAGTTTCATTCTCTTACATGTAGCTACTGATTTATTTTTAATTCTAACCTCCCCACTGTATACCATAGCAATCCTATAAAAATTCTTAAAGTTACAGAATTTTTAGTCTATTTTTAAAACCATTCTAATGGTATAATAGTTACATTAATACTTTTTTTAAATAAAAGTCTAAGCGACTAGCCATGGGAAAAGCAACGTCAAAAATCTAGAAAAGTTGCCAGAAAGGAACCTCTATTCAAACACAGGTTTTTAGGATGTATGTCAAACTCCCCATGTAAATAATTCGCTGGTAAATTTAGACTCACAAGGTAGCAATCAAGAATATATGAGACAACAGAATACGACTCAGCTTTTAAACACAGCTATTGATACACACTACGAGGTAGATAAAGTACAAAAATTGTGCTGAATGAAAGAAGACCAGCAGAGTACATAGTGAATGATTCCATTTGTGTAAAATTGTAGAAATTAATCTATAGTGACAAAAAGATTGGGACATAAGTGGAAAGAACAAATGAAAAGGTACTTCAAACAGACAAAAGGAAATTTCGGGAGATGACAGATACATTCATTATCTTGATTGTTGTGATGGTTTCGTGGATATACAATTATGTCAAAACTTACCAAGCAGTATATGTTAAAATATGTGCAGTTTTATTTTATACCAATAACTCAATAAAGCTAAAAGAGGGGGGACCTATAAAGTTGCAAGCACAAACCGTACAATGTTTTATTTAACTAAAGTTACTATTACTAGCCCTAACAGTAGAAATTCACAGTCTCAAGGCCACATCAAATTAACTTTTCATTTCCACCTCACTCAAAAAGATCCAAAGTAGTTGAACAAATATATAACATTCCTCAGTATTTTATGAAGCTACAATTCTTTCAAACATAATGAAAATCTTCTATTTAAGATGTTACTGTAATTAGGAAAGAATGCATACTCATTCTTCACAATTAATAATTGAAAAGAGTTTCTTGAAATCTAAATACAATACTGTAGAGCACATTAAGTTAGCCAAAATTGTTACCTAAGAGAATGCTACCCACTGAATATTTTCTTAACTCCAGCACTGGATATTTGAAATTCTCAAGGATTTCACAGATTATCCACATTACATACAATGTCACAATAATTTCTTTATTATTATAACCAAAATAATAAATCTGCCTGTTCTTTTTCAAATTACACAGAAGCAACTTCACCAAACCCAACTTAAATTTGCAATTACCATATAAAATAAGATTTGTTAAATTCGAATATTTTTTAATCTATTGTGCTACCTTTGAAAATACAGTTAATACTCAAAAACAATTGTGAGGGGAACCCTCCTACACTGCTGGTGCGAATGTAAACTAGTTCAACCACTGTGGAAAGCAGTATGGAGGTTCCTCAAAAAACTTAAACTAGGAAATACCATTTGACCCAGGAATTCTACTCCCAGGAATTTACCCAAAGAAAGCAAGATCTCAGATTCAAAAAGACAAATGCACCCTTATGTTTATTGCAGCTCTGTTTACAATAGCCAAGATACTGAAGCAACCTAAGTGTCCATCAGTAGATGAATGGATAAAGAAGAAATGGTACATATACACAATGCAATACTATTCAGCTGTAAGAAACAAATTCTACCATTTGCAACAACATGGATGGAGATAGAGGGTATTATGCTCATTGAAATAAGTCAGGTAGAGAAAGACAAATACCAAATCATTTCCCTCATTTGTGGAGTATAACAACAAAGCAAAACTGAAGGAAGAAAACAGCACCAGACTCACAGACTCCAAGAAGGGACTTGCAGTTATAAAAGGGTAGGGGGAAACGTGGGGGGCGGGGAGGAAGAAGGGATTGAGGGGTATCATGGTTAGTGCACATGGTGTGTGTGGGATCAGGGGAAAGACAGTGTAGCACCGAGAAAACAAGAACTACTCTGTGGCATCTTACTGCACTGATGGACAGTGATCGTTATGGAGTATAGTGGGGGAGTCGATAAAATGGTGAATGTAGTAACCACACTTTTTTTCCTGTGAAACCTTCATAAGATTGTATGTCAATGAGACCTAAATAAAAAAAATTACAATTGTCACCACTGTTGAAATCATAGCAGACCTAGATGAATTTACTGAAAAAAATTATTACAGTACTGTATTTGGTCATTATTTGGAGTCAAAACAAAAGTAGCATTAGGAATAAAAGTACTTACTATTATGCAAGAATTCATAACAAGATTATCTGAATAAAAATTATTTAATATTTCCTCAATTACTCAAAAAGTAAGTGATTTCAATTGGAAAGGAAATATATAATGGAAGCAACGTTTCTTGTACACAGAACAACTCCCATGGTACCACCTGACAGAAGGTAGTATTTTAATCAGATCTTGGTCAAGAGATAGAAAATGAGTGAGGCAAAGACTGAGATTCCTTGGCCTCTGTGCAGTTCATGAGACTAAGTAAATGTGCTACAGGTTGAAAAGCACATTGTTAGGTTTATGAATGTTGCAATTAAACTTGGAATGATACAATTGGACTCCTGAATAATAGTGGACCATTTTTAGTGACCATGAAAGAACAGCAGCAGTCCATAAGGCTTACAGTTTCCGTTAGTATCTTCTCCCTCTCCTAAAATCCCCTTCATTTCTCCTCCCACTATTTCCCGCCATCTTGGTCTATAAGGCAGCCATTAACTAAACAACGGTGTCAGCAACTTTACACAGAAATTAACAGAGAATCCTCCCTGGTGTCAAGACACAGAAAACAAAGTTACAGAAAAAAATATGTCATGAAATGTCATTCACAGAAACAATTCTATGGCAGCTAGAATCAAAGAAGTAAACAGATCACTTCAAATCTAACACAATCGCATTAGTAGTATAGGTCAAATAGCCAATGCAATCTTCATAGCTTTAAAGGACCTGCAACTTGCGGTTCTGAGATCAGGACCATGTGAAAGCCTAAAACGTGTACTAAAATTAGACATCACGTGCAGAAAAAAGATAAAACTGGCCGTTTTTAACGGGATGTGGGTTTATATGGGGCATGTAAGTCGGAAATTTTGAAAACAGCATTCCCGATCTTGTGACGCTAAATTTCAGAGAATCTCTATCCAAAATTCCCGAAAATAACTGAACTTGGCCTCCAGAGGGCCGCCGCCTGTAGTCAAGCTGTAAGACACAATCTTCCAACATAACAAACGTGATATCCGGAGCTACAAAAGGGCACAAAATAGTTTTTCTATAGTGCCACAATGGACGCTGACACGCTCCAAAGGTGCTGGAGCTAGTACGATGAGAGCGAAGAAGATATTATCTGCCCCAGAGCAGCCTTACCTTGCCCAAGAGGGTCTTGGTCTTGGCGCCATCTTCTTGACGTCTCAAGAACCCAAACAGACGGCTGTGGGAAGAGATACACGTGGCTCATTAAAGCTGCAGGAAAGTTAATCCCCCGTACCTTCCCGAGCCCAAGTACCGGTAGGGACAGCCACTTGGAGTGAGTGCAGATAACCCCCATGTCGCCACTGGAGGCAAGCTGCGCCTAGGCCTCCTGGAGAGCGGCGCTAGCCTGCCGGGACCAGCTTGGGCGAGTGATATTGGTTGGTACCTGTCCAATCCGTCAAGTGCCTCCGTTTCTTCGGCTGTCAAACTGAGGGACCCGTCCTTCCTTTGGCCGCTCGCTTTTCCCGCCGCCATTTTCTTTTCATCGCCGAAAGCTGTGGCGGTGGTAGCCAGGGACACTCCGCAGGATTTCATGGAAACCTAAAGAATTTAAAGCTCCAAAGCTAAAACCCACAAACCCCTAGTCCAAAGCTGGAAAAGATGCCGTCTCCGCGTTAAGACTGGCACACCAAACTTTATCGCCGCCGTTTCCCCCACCTGAGGTGATAGCGACGAAAAATCTCAACGTAATGGTAAAAGGACGGAAGCGAGGCTGCGGAGCTTGGCTACTGGGTCACATCGCAGGGTAGGCGGGAACAGCAGGAAAAGCAGAAGCTCTCGCGACTGGGAAGATTTCTTAGGATCAGAAACTTCACCAGCACCAGCACAAAGTTGTTGTAATTGTGTCACAGGACGAACCACTGCCCTGCCAACCCGGCACCACCACCACCATCAAGCCTTGCGCCACCAATTGACGCGATCTGTTCGTCTCACAGGACCTTTGTTGGCTTACGTCGTCATCTTTGCTTCTCCAGTACTTGCTGGTTGCACGAACCCCGCCCACGATGCCCCTCCAGACCCACTTGCGGAAGGGCGAGAAAATAAATACCGGGAGATAATTGGTTGTCTTGCATGTCTGTCTGGGATGGGTAATCACCAGAGGGAAAAACAGGTTGTGCTAGTTAAGTATAAACTCCGGTAGAGCAAGGAGGACCCCGGGCTTCTCACACTACAGCCAAGATGGCTCGGTGTTGCGGAAAGAACGCCAAGATCACGGGCGGACTTGAGTAAGGGTAAAGGAAAACTCCGACCTCTATTACCTGCTCTTCAGCACGGAGCGTTATGTAGTTGCTGGAACCCCAGCTTGTGGCGAATGTCGCATTATTACTCAGTAATGCGGAAACCCATCTTAACAACTAAAGACACTGAGAACTCAGCTCAAATTAACCAGTTGCCTATGTCTCCAACTCTAATACTGAAGTCTTTTTAATAGCAATTTAGGACGACCTGCGTTTATCAATTCTCGCTATTGAGGTAGGGCAGGGAACATGGGACAAGCATCATGATTAACTTTTCCTGCCTATGATGAAATAGACTAATATAAACAGTATAATAAGAACAGGAGGGACCCCATCTTAAGGCTAAAATGCCATTTTAAAAAGCAGAGATTTTAGAAGTAAGGTTCCTAACATATTCTCTGGTAATCAGACAGCAACCCAAAAACCCAGCTTAAGGCAAGAACAAGCAGTCTTAACTTATATGTCCCCACTACTTGAAGGTAACCACTATTTTGGAGAGCACGATAAATGAACTCTTTGTGTTGGGTTTATTTAGCAGAATTAGTTCGAGGACTGATAATAAATGAAAGACTTGGGGTCTCTCACCAGATAAGCACGTTGAGACTACATGTCGAGCCTATGCCCATAAAACCCCCCTCTGCCCTTTGCCCTATTCTTGAAAGCCTTAAAAGACAGAATCCACAAACTTTCGGCGCCACCTCCTCTCGGAGGCCACCCGCACTTTCCTTTAAGTGCTTACTTTCAAATAAAGCTTTCTCACTACTCAAATTACTGCATTTTGTCTCTTTGCTATTTCATTTTATTTCCAAGTCTTCCTTCACTTTACTTCTAAAAAAGTAGGAAGAGGCTGCTGAGACCTCACATTTGGGCCTGCGTGTTTCTGTCGCCTGGGTGACCTGGATGAAACTGCCCTGTGCAATCTGCTCTTCATAGCCTGCCTTTGGCAAGTTCTCAGAATGTAATCTCACTCCATCCTCTGCTCTGTTGCTGTTGGTCATAAATAAAATTCTATAATTGTGGGAAAAAATTCCTCTATCAGCAATTTTCCAAGATAAATTTCATGAAATATTTTCTGTGAAAATCTTTTACAGGATATACCTCTGCTTGTTAAGTATAGAAATACTAATTCTTAATAGATGTCTGAAAAATGGGCAGTTATGTTTTGGGTAAAGAGGTTTCTCAGGCTGCAATGAACAAGATATATTTAAACTTTCAATTAAAAAAGAAGAAGATTTGAAGATAGCTGACTGAATAAATGATAACAGTATATAGTGAAAAAGCTGTGGAAATCCCAACCATTTTGCACACAGACACATATTGTCATTATTCTTTTGAAAGTAGGAACTATTATATTTTCATGGATTTATGCCTTCGGTTACCTCCTTATTTCGTTTTAGTGGAATTACAGAGATCTGAAATAGCCTGAAAAGCTGTATTAGCATGAGTACCTTAAGTGTGTAATTAAAACATGACCCTCAAGTCTGAAAAATTTGTGACAACATAACACATTTGCACAAGCAGACTGTAGAATATAAATCTTAACTATGAGATCTTAATACTTAGATGACAAGATTTTGATTTATATAGGTGTACAAATAGAGTTAATGGTTATCCTATATATTAGCACTAAAAATAACTTAAAACATTTTTGTTGGAAAGGAACAATTTTTTTTTTAAATATGGAGGAAATAACATACTTGTTTCAGGTGTATAAAAACTGATTTGACAATTATATACATTTCTAAATACCACAATAAATGTAGTTATCATTACCGTCTGTCAACATACAAAGATATTACATTTTTTACTCTATTTCCTATGCTGTACTTTTATCCCTGAATCTTTATTTTATAATTGAATTTTTATAACTCTTTAATCCCTTCAACTATTTTACCCATCCACCTTGCCTTCCCTCTCTGCCAACCACCAGACTGTCCTCTGTTGGTTGTTTCTTTTGTTGTTGTTTTGCTGCTTGTTCTGTTTGTTTCTAGATTACCCATAGAAGTAATGAGAAAAACAGTATTTGTTTCTCTGTGCCTGACCTATTTCACTTAGCCTAATACCGTGTAGGTCCAAATAGTTATTCCAAATAGCAGGATTTATTTATTTTTATAAGGTCAAATAATATTGCATTCTGTATATATATGCACCTCTTCTTTATCAGTTCATCTATTGATGGGCACTTTGGTTGCTTTCGTATCTTAGCTATTCTAAATAATGCAGCAAAAAAACATAGGGGTACATATTATCTTTTCAAATTGGGAATTTTGTTTTCTATGGGTAAATTCCTAGAAGTAGGGTTTCTGGATTAAATGGCATTTCTTTTTAATTTTTTTTAGGAAATTCCATACTGTTTTCTACAGTGGCTCCACTGAATATGTTCCCACCAACAATGTATGAAGTGCCTTTTTTTCTTCACATCTTTAGCAACATTTGTTATTTCTTCTCTTTCAGATAGTGGGCATGCTTAATAGCGTAGGGTGATATGTGATACCTCGCTGTGGTTTAGATTTGCATTTCCCTGATGATTAGTGATGAGCATTGCTTTATGAGCCTGTTGGTCATCTATATGGCTTCTTTGGAAAATTGTCTATTCAGGTCCTGTACCCATTTTTTAAATTGGATTATGTGTGTTTTTTAGGACTGAGTTGTCTGAGATTTTTATATATTTTGCATATTAGCCCCTTGTATATATCATATGCAAATATCTTCTCCCATCCTATAGATTGCCTTTTGTTCTATTCATTTTGTCCTTTGCTGTACAAAAGCTTTTAAGTTTTGACATAGTCCCACTTGTTCCATTCTGATTTTGTTTTCCTTGTTTGGGGAGAGATACGCAGAAAAAATTACTAATGCTGATGTTCAAGAGTTTATTACCTAAGTTCTCTTTCAGCAGTTTTATGGCTTCAGATCTCACATATAGGTCTTTGATCCATTTGAGGTTTATTTTTGTGTATGGTGTGTGACATAGATTCAGTTTCATACTTTTCCATGTAGCTATCCAGTTTTTCCAAACATTTGTTTAACAGACTGTCTTTTCTCCATTGTACTATATTTGCCTCCTTTAGAATAGATTAATTACACAGGTAAGCATGGATTTATTTCTGGGCTCTCTCTTCTGTTCTATTGATCTCTGGGGTGTGTTCTTGTGTCAGTACCATTCTGTTCTGATTACTATAGTTTTGTAGTATAAGTTGAAGTCAGGGAGCATGATACACCCACCTTTGTTCTTCTTTCTCAGGATAGCTTTGGCTTTTTGACATCTTTTGTGATTCCATACACATTTTAGGATTATTTGCTCCAGTTATTTGAAACATGCCATTGTCATTTTGATAGAGTTTGCATTGAATCTGTAAATTGCTTTGACAATTATGGTGATTTTAATAAAACTAATTCTTCCTATCCGTGAGCATGAAATAGCTTTCCATTTACATTTCTCCATCTTAAATTTCTTTCATCAATGTCTTAGAGTTTTCAGAGTAAAGATCTATCACCTACTTGGGTAGATGCATTCCAAGGTATAAATTCCTTTGTATGTGCTATAAATATGAATATTTTAATAATTTTTCTTTCTGCTACTTCATTATATGTGCAAATGCAACAAATTTCTGTATATTGATTTTTTATCCTATAACTCTATTGAATTCATTTAATTCTAATCTTTCTTTGGTGGTATCTTTAGGGTTTTCTGCGGATAGTGTCATGTGACCTACAAATAGTGATAATTTTATATCTTCCCTACTAATTTGGATGCCTTTTATCTTTTTATCTAGTCTGATTGTCATGGCTAGGACCTCCAATACTATGTTGAATAAAAGGGTGAGTGTGAGCATCCTTATCTTGTTATTGTTCTTAGAGGAAAAGCTTTCAGTTTTCACTGTTAAGCATGATGCTAGCTGTAGGGTTCTCATATATGGTCTTTATTATGTGGATGTACCCTCCCTCAACACACATTTTGTTGAGAGTTTTTATCAAGAGTGGATGTTGAGTTTTGTCAATTGTTTTTTCAATATCTGCTGAGATGATCGTACAGTTTTTATCCTTCCTTTTTTAATGTGGTGTATCACTTTCACTGATGTGAGGATAGTGAATCATCCTTACATCCCTGGAATAAAAGTCACTTGGTTGTGATGAATGAGTCTTTCAATGTATTTTTAAACACTGTTTGCTAATAATTTTAAGAATTTTTGCATTTATGATCATGAGGCATATTATTCATGTAATTCTTGCTTTTGGGTCTGTTTTTGATATTGGTGATACTGGTGTACAGAATGAAGAGAAAGCTTTCTTTCACCTTCAGTTTTTTGGAATACTTGGAAAAGTGTAGGCATTAACTCCTTTGTAAATGTTTGGTAAAATTCACTTGTGGAGCGAACTGATCATAGGCTTTTGTTTTTGGGGTATGACTACCATTTCAATTTTACCCAGAGGGGTATAGCCGAACCCTACAAACCCCTAGTCCAGAGCTGGAAAAATGTCATCTCCACATAAGAGTAGTACACCAAATTTATCATAGCAGTATCCTCCAGAAGAAAAAAAACATAGGAAAAATCTCTTGAATATAAATGTGAGCAGCTTTTTCCTGAAGGCATCTCCTTGGACAAGGGAAACAAAAACAAAAATGAACAAGTGGGACTATATCAAGCTGGAAAGCTCCTGTACAGCAAACACCATCAATAGAACAAAAAGGCATCCTACATTATGGGAGAATATATTCATGAATGGCAGATCCCATAAAGGGCTGACAACCAAAATACATAAAGAGTTCACATGCTTCAACAAATAGAAAGCAAGTAAT